TTCGTTTTGTTGGCGTACGTTGATTCACCAATTTATTTGGTCAAATTTGTATGCGGCACTGAACGAAAAAAAGGACAACAACTTCAATACAAGTATTATGCATTATATGTTTCATCTACCATGCACTACTACTTTTTTTTGCTTACAACCGGCCGGCAATGCATGTCAGCAGTCAACATAACGGAATAAAAAAAAGGACACACATATTTTCACATACACATTCATATGTAATATCACCAAGTGGAAAACGTACACGGGGAATTCACAGAGGCAAAGGGAACAACAGAGATTTATTTATTGCTGTGTCTTGCATGTGTGCTGTCTTTTGATTTAGCACATGTTATACCGGACGTGGACATGGACATGAACAAGGATCACCAGGCGATGAGTTCAACAAACTTTTGCCACGTAAAAATGTGGTTCACATTTAAAGGTAGCAAACATTAAAATAACATGCTATGATATATTTTATGGCATTTTACTTGCTTCAGCTCCCTGTTTTTCTCTTTCCTCTCTGTCTCTGTCTCCCCTTTTTCATACAGTGAATTATAGCTATTTGGAAATGTCGTAAATACTGTTGAAAATATCTCAACGAATTGAAAATATTGATTTGAAAAACATAACTGAAGTAGAAGTGAAATAGTTTTTATTGTTGGTAATGATGCACTGATGTTATGTGTGTGTGTGCGTCGTGAAATTGGTTCATGTCTTCCATGTACTCGATAAAATAACACAACTCGAATTTCTTTCGATAGTAAAATCGGGCTTTAAAAATTCGCGTGAATCTTATGGACATTAATTTTCAATGTGTACAGTGTTTTTGTTTGCATATTAGCTTCAGTTTCGAGTGTAAGCATGTCAAGCTCTAATACATCCGTTTCACATTCAATATCTGGTTGTCAAGTGAATGGAGAGTTTGGTGGCCATTTCAAATTACGGTTTGCCGATTCCATAATTCACCCGACCCGGGCGTCTTCTTTTTTCTTCCCACTGGCAAGCGAAATTGAAAATGCACACAGGCCCACCTTGTTCAATGCATGCAGATGTCAAAGAACCAACAAAATGTCAAACTATCCAGAAATGTCTGGACCAAAAGGCGCCCAAATATTGTGGGAACCAAAAGCTCATCTTTTTCACAGCCAACGTTTGGCAAATGTATTTGTATACTATATCCGCATGTATATACGTATGTGTGTGAGTGAGTGTGCGGTATTCGACAGAGAGAAAATAAACAAAAACTACAAGCAAAAATGGCTTGTATTGGGAGATATATTTGGTGTGTTTGACTGCTTTATTCCAGTTGCTTTCGTTCGTTGTCTTCCTTTTTGAATACGTTCTGTTCCATCAAGTACATACAATATGCATTATACTACACGGGAAAAATTCGTGGCAAATACATGTACGCATACCACAAACTGGCGAAACATACACAAATAAACAATTACGCGTGCACTAATGTGCATGAGCACACAAGAATGTACATTTGTACATACACGATGAAGGAGACCGAAAAAAAGACATTTATTTTCAAGTAAAAATAGACGTACGAAACTTTGAAACTCAAAAGAACATAACAAAAGTTGCGAAAAAAACACCATCCCAAATACAAAGACGAAAATCACGCAAAGCCGCTGATATATATGAAGAAAAATGGGGAGAATTCGTGCACTTGTGTAATAGTGACTTTATATATATATAAATGATGGTAACTGGGAGAGGATTTTTCCATGTATACCATGGGCTATATACACTAAAAATGATATGTAATTGTTTATTCAACAATGGGAATAGCTATTCAGACACACCGTATGCGACATCAGCAAAGCCGAAACGGGCGTAATGCAACCGCGGCAAATGCGGAAGCCAGCCAGAAAATACCCCAATGGTAAAAAGTGCAAAAAGAAAAATTGAGCAAAAAAAAGAGTGGAAGGAAATTTGTGAAACGAAATACAAAAAGAAGAAAAATATTCTTACAATATGGTGATTATTCTCATTCTCATTGAATAATATAACATTTAATCGCTCACACACATCCATATACATACAACTTGATCCATATTGTATATAGTTGATGTGCAAAAACGTTTACAAATACACGTTCAGCTGTTTATGGTATTCGATGACAGATTATTGTATTTACGAACTCATCGACATTTTAAGTCACTCTTCAGTCCATGCAGAATCAAACTAAAAATAGTTAACACCGGCCGGCTATCGTAAATGATACTTTATTCGACTCTAGTGTTCTGCTGCATTTATAGCCGATCAAATGCAGTGGCACTTTTGCATAATATCCTATATGCAAATGTAGAACAGCATATTCGTGAAGTTGTTGTCTTTTTTCTCTCTTTCTTTTCGGATGACTATACAATGTTATGCATTTAAGTGTATTTTGTTTTTACTATTTTGACGAATTTTACACCAGCTTATTTGCTACAGTGTATGCATATACATTACAACATTTATGCAGAAGTAGCTCGTCTAAAATTCCGCAGACGAAAACTGATATGGATAATACAACGCTAAGCTGTGTAGCGCCGTTAAATCATTTGTTTTTTCCCTTCTTTCGAATGATATGAACTTTTTATATTTTTAGAATGTGACAAATAATCGATTGCACGTATTTATTGATATGTTTTTTTCCTTCTAAATCGTCTTTTTAAGTTGTGCTTGTATTTATGGCAATATCAGAACATTTCATTTAAACATGCAGTTTCGATGCATGTCGATTTCGAACCTGTATGTGCAATATACATATTTACAAATTGGAATAGCATCAAACAAACAAACATATTGGAGCTGATGTAAAAATGAAAAAAAAAAAAAAATTCTGAAGAACTGGGACACCAAAAGTACAGACAGAAAATAAAACCGCAAAGCGCCAATGTGATTAACACAAATATTGTCAGTTGCGATCACTTTTGATGTGCCCACAGAAGCATAACAGGGAAAATAGACAAGCCTTTTTGACTCATGCAAAGTCTTTGTACGTAATCTTGTAATATTTATAGTATTTAACCATCATTTTAGCAAATATACGTAGTCTTAGTGCAAATAAGATCCTATTGATTGCATAGAATAATGATCAAATTCAAATGAACTGCATTGTATGACGCATTCGTAATTAACGCGAAATTTTCTACCATTATTATACCGATTTTTCATCAAATTTTCGAAGTTCAAAAATAGTTTGTGTCATTAGATTCTACTTGACAATCTCAATTCGAATTATGGCTTTTTTTGAAGGGCTTTTTTTAGCGTTTTTTTTACCTTTTGAGAATGACTATCTCACTGTTAATATAGTATTACTTAAATCATAAAAAAAGCATTAAATTCTGTTCAAAATAATTTATTTCAATTCATAAGAGATTTACTTCAAAGCTCAAACTTTTCCAAAATTATGATAAGATGTCTGAAAATAAAGTTAAACATATTTATTTTGAATATTGAAATTTTGCAAAAATCCACCAAGATTTTAGTCCGTTTTTGATTTGATGCCGTTTGTAGATAGCGAATTTCGTTTGCAATTCAAAATTTTTAAATTATTGACGAATGCAAATTGAAATGAATGTTCTTCGTTTTATCTATCAAATGTGAAAAATGTTCACATTTTTTGTTTGAATATACATTGCACTGTGGAATTTCCACACTATATGCCACCGAAATTACCATGTGTTTTTAAAATAAATAAAGTGTGTATCATGTTCGCCTAATACCTTACGCAAATCATAATTTATTTAGATATGAAATGAAAGCTTTATGAGACAGACGATGTATTAATTCCGATTTACACGTATGATTTATTCACGTTATCATGTCAAATATTTAATATCAAATCTAAATTTATATCAATTTCGGTACACATCATTACGACGAGCTTATATATATTACTTCACACGAAATAATATGAACATTTCAAGTATGTTTTTTTTTAAACTAAAATTTCATGTTATTTTGTTGTTGTTGTTTTCAACACAATGGTAGAAATTAAATGAAAATAGCTTGATTATATAAATATTGGAAACTCAAAGTACTGATTGCTATACCTATTCTGACGTAAAAGAATGAATGTATTTTTGGTTTTGATTCGGTGCGCGTCAGCTGATTTCAATATTTAATAAAGTGGCTTATTAATTTGAATGACGTAAAAAAAATACCGTTGCCTGAAAATAATGCTCCATAATTTACATGCATACTTTATATTTCGCTGCAAATCGTTCGTTTGACCGGTACACATACATACGTACAGCGTGTGGCGAAAAGCGACGAAGAATGAATAAATATTGTATACGAAAAAGGAATAATAAGAACGAAGCTAAAATGTAATCAGAATATAGAAGAAATAAATTGAAGAAAAAAAAATGTATTGCTAAATGATTTCATATACGTTTTGGGCATGTTCGTGTTTTGGGGAATGACTTTCTGTGACCCAAAAATAACCTCAATAAGAACTGTGCATCGACTTCAAATTGAAGTATTTTTTCGTTTGCATCTAAAAATAACACTCTCCACTTACAGGTATTAATTCATTATTTATCCATGAAAGAAAATTGCCACACATGAAACATTGCGTTTTCATTTCATACGTCTATACATTTGAGTGGCTAAAATTCATTGAGCACTTGCAAATTTTCCATTCGAGCTAACCAGTCAATTGGTGACACAGTAGCTTATGACGAAAATAATTCAATCAGCGTACGTTCAAAAGTTAAAGCTCATTAGGTCGCTTGTAACGTATACGCATCCATCAGCTGCCCGGCTCTGATTTTAACATATATTTGTTCGTTTATTAGTAAGCTTTATATTCGTACTTGTATTGTGCGGTAATTGGAAAAAGGAAGATCCGTTTGTTTGAAAGAAAAAACGAAAATGAACAAAGAATTAAGCATATACCTTTTTTCGATTTTGACCGTCAATTTGGGATGTGACATATATATTTGTGCATAATATTCATACAGACATCTTTTACTAACTTATGTACGTTTTTCTTATTCATGCAGAATGTCCGCCAGCGATGGATGGAATGGAGAGATTTGCATGTCCAACACCAGATCGACAGGGCAGATATCGGTGTATAGACGATCATGTGCTTTGTGATGGTTTTATTGACTGTCCCGATGGTGAAGACGAGGAACGACAGGCCTGCATGTTCTACAAAACGGTAATTATTATTATTATTTTGATTGTGTATAAAATATAAATTCTATGTTTGAATTATGTCTATGGAACATAACTTGTTAGTGCAAACAACAACAAACTGAAAATGCTAAACACTGTTGACATATGACATACATTTTCTATACAAACACAATTTCATCAGGTTGCATGCATTTATTATACTCTATATCCTTGCATAAATATTGTATGTTACACGAACAATCAAACATTTGAAAATTTTTCATTTCACTACGCCAACTGTTTTGCACTTGATCAATGAGAGGATGTGAAGACTTCAAGTCTCTTTGAGCCGACGGTGGCGCACCGAATTTCAAAGGGGACGTCAATGTAATTTTACAACTCAAATCGAAACTAAACAGCGCGCCAATTTTAAAATTTGCTGTCATTTCCTCCCA